GTCTTGGGGAGCTTTAGGAGTGGCCGCTGCTTATCATTAAATAGTTCGAGAATTCATGGAATTTGTGTAATCACACTGACAAAAGTTACTTTTACGGGTTATCACACAAAAATCAATAATCTAGGGCCTACCGTGAGAGTAACTTAATACACACAAAAAAAAAACGTACACTCAAAATTTCAACACCAACAACAAAAAAAGAGATAAATAAAAAAAATTCACGATTTGTTAAATAAAATAAAAACAGTACTTATCTTTTATTTGCAGCGTTGATAAGGAGCGGACCGGGGTTACACAGGGATGTGAAGAGATCCCCAGACACGGAAAAACCACGTAGAAAAACACTTTAAGTGTCTCAACACCAATTCACCACGCTCTGGACCCCCTCGCATTCCCTTAGTCCCCTCTTATATACAGACATGGCCACATTCGTCCGATGAGAAAGCGTGAGAGATTGGTTCACTAACAAACGAAGACAACATTCTTCTCGCTAAAAACTGATCAGAAAAAACTGAAAATGTTTGTCAATATAATTTGACAACACAAGGGGATAAGAAACAACAACAATATATTGGGTTCTCATGACGGTGAATAACAACGGTGGTAAACACAAGGTAATAAGACCAAATCCAAATAAATAAATAGTGTGTGAAGTTTCAGTAACAGCGTTGTTACCATCTTCCGACAAAAGTACTGAATGAGAAATTTTACCACAGCATGTTTTCATCATCAACATCAAGACAGTAAAACAAAATTAAGCCAGTTTAACCGAGAGTACAAATTATCAGGAGAATTATGTTATCAAAAGTACAAATTTAGCTTCTAAGATTGTGATATCCAGTCATCAACAGTTTCACAATTTCCTGCCGGGGAGTTGGGCTGGATGTTCAAATTTCTATCTTGTATCAGATCTTTGATAAGATTTCCTGGTGTATCTGGTTTATTCAGTAGATAGTACTTTTTTTTATCATTACCAAATATGTAATATGCAAATTCTGGATAAGTAGCGATTTTAACTATGAACACAATACAAGGTAATAAGACCAAATCCAAATAAATAAATAGTGTGTGAATTATTTATTTGGATTTGGTGTTATTACCTTGTGTTTATAATTTATAATCCAAATTGTGCCTTATCTATAAACACAATATTGAGTTTAACTCACTTTTTTTTTAAACTCTACCTTTGCCGGTCCCAAGCCCGGATTAAAAAGGAGGAGGGGGAGCAGTAACAAGCTCAATAAAAAACCTGGGCTCAGCTGGCCCGACTGATAGTACCCTGTAAGAGCTTCTAATCCAGGGATACAGGAAGAGTTTGTACTCCATGTTAGGAGCGGCTGCACGTGGAGTCTGTTGCTCATGTCAGAGGCCGCCATTTCTTTTGGAGCTAAGTCGGCCTGCCACTAGGTAGTGCTCCCAGTCTTAATGACAAAGGCAGATGCATTCTACTTCACCCAGTCATGATGGTTGCCAAAAGTCTCAAGCTTTACAAGCTTGATACCTTAATATGATTGAGTGGAGATAAGAAAGAAGAAGAAGAAGACTCACTTTTTTTTTAGAAGCTAATGTCTGATATACACTCATGGATCAAACTCAAGGAAGTAGCGCCTTAAACACAAGGTAATAAGACCAAATCCAAAAAAAAATTATTTATTTATTTGGATTTGATCTTATTACCTTATTTTTATAATCTATAATGCAAATTGTGCCTTATCATTTTCAAAGTTGTACATTTTTAGCATGTATATTTGGGATTCAGACAATAACTATGAAAGATATTACAGTGACCTTTATTGAAGAGAAATGAGATAACCAAGTGTGAACAAAATTCTCTGTCTCCTTCAAAAAATTGATGACTGGCGACAGCAAAGATTTTCCACTTCCTTAAGTTTTGTCCATTAGTGTATGTCATAATATATGCTCTTCCAGGAATAATAAAGCAAGCCTACAGTCAAACCAGAGAGAGACGGGAGGGTAAGGACCGGTCACTTTAGACATCAGCGACATTCCAAGGGGCGACTACTGGGGCCCGTTACTTGGAATCTCGGGACTATTAAGACAGTTGGGGATTGTGTGCGACACGAACGGACACCCGGCTGTTGGCGGTCCCGTCTCTCTCTGGTTGTCTGGGTTCCTCTTCCAAACTTGTGGTGTGATTATTTCTCTTCCCACCTTATTATATTGTCACATGTATATATAGAAATGGTGTAAATATAAACTCTCTCAATGCCTCTTTAAGCAACAATACTTGTTGAAACTGAATTTTGCCTCATGTAAATCTGAGCTGTGGATATTATTATAAACCTTCTTCTTTTTTATCTCCAATTGTGCTTTATCATTTCAGTACTTTTCTTTCAACATGGTAACAACGCTGTTACCGAAATGTCACACATTATTTATTTATAAGGTCTTATTACCTTGTGTTTCATATTCTCATGCCCAGCAATGGCCGCAGCCTTGCAGAAAATTGACCCAGAGCAGCAGCTTTACACACCCAAGATAGAGGACATTGCTGCTGCTGTGATAGAGATGTATGTAGATATCTGAGACTCTTCATTGGACACAATAACAACAACCTTGTGTTTCTAATCTATAATCCAAATTGTGACTTATCATGGTAGACCTAGTTTCTCCTGGAGACAATTTCAGATAAAAGGCCTGAAGGACCCTTCATAGGCCCTGATAAGAGATTAAATGTATTTATAGGCTACAGTCTCATTGTAGGAGACCACTGTGTTAGAAGCCAAGTTACCACTTTATGAGACTCATGAAAATGAGACTTGTGTATTACCTAATGGTTTCTTTGAATGGCACTTTGCTGTCTGCAGGGCACCTCTTCTTCTTCTTTCTTATCTCCACTCAATCATATTAGGCAATCAAGCTTTGACAACCATCATGACTGGGTGAAGTAGAATGCATCTGCCTTTGTCATTAAGATTGGGAGCACTACTCAGTGGCAAGTCGACTTAGCTCCAAAAGAAATGGCCACCTCTGGCATGAGGAACAGACGCCATGTGCAGACGCTCCTAACATGGAGTACAGACTCATCCTTATCCCTGGAGCTCTTACAGGGTACTATCAACCGGGCCAGCTGGGCCCAGGTTGTTTAGCGAGCTTGTTACTGCTCCCCCTCCTCCTTTTTCATCCGGGCTTGGGACCGGCATATTATGCCATTATATGTAAATATATAAAGCTATGTAGATAATAGTGTTGTCTGAATAAAGAGCTTTGATCTTATATTCAGTAGACACTGGAAGATTCCTATAGGTTAGAAGAGGGCCCCACATAACTTAATATTCCCCATACTGGAGGGACATACACCCATTGAAGAATGAAGGAAGAGACAAAAAATATACAGAATAACCTCGTTAATTCGACACCCGGCGATAATTCGACCATGTTTTGATGTCCTGACTTCCGGCCTATCAAATAACAAACCGTAATTTGACACTATCGATAATCAAGCTCTTTCGATAATTCGACCATTTTAAAATTCAAATTTAGACAGTTGATCGTTGTTTAAACACAACTTTACCGCTAAAAAGGAATTACAGAGGCGACGGCGGCCACTGAAAATGTACAAAATTTATGTATAGAGCAGTGGAAAAAAAACTAGTAAATAGGGAGTAGACCAAAATAGAAATAATTGAAAATAAATAGTTTATTAGCAAACAAATAATAAAAAAAAAAAAAATTCTTTCATGTGAGAAACTATAGGCATTGGTTAAATTTATATAAATATATTCAAAATGAGGAAAAAAAGTAGTTATTTTGCTCCTCCACATTCTCATGTTTGGTAAGGCGTGGAACCTACCTCAAAGTATTTCTTGAGGAAGGAGAAGGGCACGTAGACCTCTTCCTGTAGGCGGAGACAGGAGACGGTGGACTCGGAGTTGATGAGGCAGTCAATGGGTTGGGTGAGGGAGGGAGGGGCTGAGGGGGGTGGGGCCGGAGGTGGGGGGCAGTGGGACCAGGGCACGGCAGAGAGCAGAAACAGGGAGCAGCATGCCAGGGCCACCGTGCCCCCCAACAAGGCGCTCAGCCGCACCCTCATCTGGCAACAACACACAGGTTCACCACAGATAGCAAAGTGGCGTTCACAGAAACTATTTGGTAAGACAAACTCCACCTTTGACGGTCCCAAGCCCCTATGAAAAAGGAAGAAGGGGAGCAGTAACAAGCTCACTAAAAAACCTGGGTTCAGCTGGCCTGGCTGATAGTACCCTGTAAGGGCTCCTGATCCAGGGATACAGGATGAGCAGTGTTTGTACTCCATGTTAGGAACAGCTGCACATGGCGTCTGTTCCTCATGCCAGAGGCAGCCATTTCTTTTGGAGATAAGTCGGCCTGCCACTGAGTAGTGCTCCCAGTCTTGATGACAAAGGCAGACACATTCTACTTCACCCAGTCATGATGGTTGTCAAACAGACACCATCAAGGGTCACAACTTGATACCCTAATATGATTGAGTGGAGATAAGAAAGAAGAAGAGGTGCCCTGCAGACAGCAAAGTGCCATTCAAAGAAACCATTTTGAAATACAGCATTCTCTTTCATGATTCTCATAAAGTGGTAACTTTCCTTGGCTTCTAACACTGTAGTTTCCTACAATGAGACTGTAGCCTATAAATACATTTAATATCTTATCAGGGCCTATGAAGGGTCCTTCAGGCCTTTTATCTGAAATTGTCTCCAGGAGAAACTAGGTCTACCATGATAAGTCACAATTTGGATTATAGATTAGAAACACAAGGTTGTTGTTGTCGTGTCCAATGAAGAGCCTCAGATGTCTCCATACATCTCTATCACAGCAGCATCAATGTCCACTATCTTGGGGTATGTAAAGCTGCTGCTCTGGGTCAATTTTCTGCAAGGCTGCGGCCATTGCTGGGCATGAGAATATGAAACACAAGGTAATAAGACCAAATATATAAATAGTGTGTGAGGTTTCGGTAACAGCGTTGTTACCATCTTCAGATAAAAGTACTGAAATTATGGTCTACAGATATACCACATTGAAAACCTCGGTTCTCGTCCAATCATTGAAGTTAAGCAATGTCGGGTCCGGTCAGTACTTGGGAGGGTGACCACCTAAGAACATCAGGTGTATGCTGTAAGCTATTACCTTTTTCATTCAGTACTTTTGTCTGAAGATGATAACAACGCTGTTACTGAAATGCCCCACACTATTTATTTATTTGGATAACAGGTACCGGTTCTGTCCTCCCAAGAGAACAACAGTCTTTGATTTCCAGACTTAAGTCTGGTCATCTACGTACAATGACATTCCAAAATGGTTGCAAGGTTTTCCCACTATGTACTAACTGCAATTCTCAGCCTGCAACCTCAAGACATAATATTGACTGTATAGACTCATCCATTGATGAGCTCTACTCTTCCCCGGCAGACACCATCAACAAGCTTTACAAGCTTGATACCTTAGTGTGATTGAGTGGAGATAAGAAAGAAGAAGAAGACAAATCCTTCTATAGAATTATATGACCTGATAAGACACAATTTGGATAATAGAAAATAAACACAAGGTAATAAGACCACAAATCCAAATAAATAAATAGTGTGTGATGTTTCAGTAACAGCATTGTTATCATCTTTCAGTTACCATCATTCAATACTTTTGTCAGAAGATGGTAACAACACTGTTACCGAAACATCACACACTATTTGGATTTGATCTTATTTCCTTGTGTATATGTACTCCTATAGAAATGTTTATAAAACCTGAAAGCTTGAGATGAAATAAATCGATAAACTCAACTCGCGAAGATGCTTTGTTTATTATTTATATATTGCAGAGGTATAAACACAAGGTAATAAGATCAAATCCAAATAAATAAATAGTGGGTGACGTTTCAGTAACAGCGTTGTTACCATCTTCAGACAAAAAAGTACTGAATGAGAAATTTTACCACAGTATGTTTTAAATAGTTACTGTTATCAAGTGTGTAATCAAGATAGCAGATAAGAATTTAAAACATACTGTGGTAAAATTTCTCATTCAATACTTTTGTCTGAAGATGGTAACAACACTGTTACTGAAACATCACACACTATTTATTCATTTGGATTTGGTCTAATTACCTTGTGTTTATAATCTATAATCCAAATTGTGCCTTATCGTATTTCCAGAGGGTTTTACTTTTCAAATGCCCATCTATCAATAAATTTTACTATTTCCTATTACCTTGTGTTTAGGTCTACCATATCTTTAGGTTATGATCACGGAAAGGTTATTTTTAGGTTCATATGGGAAGAGAAACTTTACTGAAAACTACAAACATTTCAAAACAAATATGATCCCCAAAGAAGTAAAAATGTGACACATGAAAACATAATTGATCCTGGAGGAAGATAGGCACAACAGCAATAATTTATACTCATGGACAAAATTTAAGGAAGTTGAAAGTGTTTGATATCACTAGTCTATTTTTTTAAGGAGACAAAGGCAATTGGTTGTGTGTTTTCACAATAAAGGTCACTGTAATATCTTTCAGAGTTATTGTCTGAATCCCAATATACATATTAAAAGGTACAATGATAAGGCATAATTTGGATTATAGATTATAAACATAAGGTAATAAGACCAAATCCAAATAAATAAATAGTGTGTGACGTTTCAGTAACACCATTGTTACCATCTTCAGACAAAACTACTGAATGAACAACTTTGTTACTAAAATGTCACACACTATTTATTTATTTGGTCTTATTACCTTGTGATTAAAAGGTACAAATTCCTCAATTTTTGTCCAGTTTGTCCAAGTTGAAGCATACTATGTAGTTTTATGTGATGGGGGATTGGGCGGGGTTTAGGGGGTTATACCCCCCTGTCACGGGATGGATCCCCTTTAAAAGTAAGAAATGGAAACCTAATTTTATTTTATTATTTTATTTTTATATTACGTTTTTCTGGAATTGTTAATTTTTTAAAACATTTTTTTATAAAATTAATATGCATAACCATTGAAAAATTCATCAAAATCTACACACAAAAATTAAGATTAAATATTATGAATTAATTAAGTTTTGTAATTATATGGTTTCATAAGGTACTTTATAAATGTATAGATTTTTTTTTAAATGGTTGCAGCTAAAGTAAATTAGTGGTTTTGATAATCTGCATGCGAACTGAAAAAAAAGTTATTTTTATAACTTTTTTTTTTTGTATGAAAACATGCGATAGGAAATGTAATTGACTTTAAAACGAGATATCACAAACTATCCTTTTAATACGTTTGTAGTAATAAACTATTGGGATATTTAACACAATGTCTTTGAGTAGTTTAATATTTTACTTACTATAAAATATTACGTCGATATTGGGTGAATCCAAAAGTACTCATATTTTTCCATAATCTAAAACTACTTTAACAGCTTTTTACAAAAGGTAAAAACAAATAATAACAAAATATTAACAAAAAGTAAAAAAGTTATTTGACATGAAACATTTTGCAAAACCTGATCTAAACTGGTCAAATTTGAAATAAAATTTAAATCTGCAACGGAAGATATATGATTAATTTTTATTTTGAATAATTAGTAATAAATTTAAAAATATATTCATATATCGTATTGTTCTATATTATTTATTTTGTTTGCAAAATATCATATTTAATTTTAGAATTAAATTCACAGAACAAGTATTTTGGCAGTAGATGGCAGGCGTGTCGCTATGTCAACATCAAAACACTTGGGCTAACCACAGTCTACGTTCCTAGAGTTCCTTTTTCATCGAAACTTTTTAATTCTTCTGATACATGTGAGAGTGTTAATCAAGATATGGATGGTATACAAATTAGAAGTCTAAGCGCCGCCGGAACACAGGAGGATTCAAGGACAGTTCCTCCTGGAAAAGTTAATCAAAGTGAGTTTTTCTAATTTGACAGTTTTGACATCTTTTTCAACACATTATTTTGAATAAACACATTTATGATTCCAATATGCAAGTTTCTCTATTATATGCAAAATACGACATTGCCCCATATATTGTCCATAATTTTCGTTAAAGTATCAAAACTATAATCATATTTTAATTTACATATTGGTTTACAATTTTAAAAACTAAATTAGTTATCATCATAATATCAAAAAACATATATTAGTTAACACATTAAAAATTATAAACACATTATTATTTTTTTATTAAATTATCATATAACCAACACATATGACAATTTATTAAAATTCTATTTATTCATGCAATATCAAATAACTATCTTTAAATGAGTTAACCCTATATTAAATTTTAACTAAAACATAGCCCATCTTAATGATTGCTTAATATATCTTTAAAAAAATAGTATTTTGATTGTATGTACAAGTTATTTTTTAAAATTTAAATACTCTTAAATATTATATATGCATGTTTTATCTTTTAACATTTTTAGATAATCTTCATATTTGGTGCAAATAGAATTGTTTCAAGCGTCTGTTTATAAATTTTGGGTGAGATACATGTCAGAAATTTATTACTTCAGATTAAGCCTACTTGTGGTAGGTTAAAACGGTTTGATTTTAACCCTTAGTTACTGGCGCCTATTTTCCTTACACAATTACTGGCGTTCGGCCTCTCAGGCCATCTTTTAAAATCAATAATAAACCATGTTATTTATAAAATAAAAAAGAAATTAAACGTATACACATAATTTCCAAAGAATAAATATTTTGTTTTTTTCGAATAAACAGAGCTCTAAACAAAATTAAATGAAAATGTACAAGAAACTCTTTCTATCAAAAATACTCTAAATATATTCTAAAAAGTTCTATCTGAAATATTTTATTCAAGATTAGGTGCACAATTCAAGCATATTTCAATAGAATGATCTTTGCAGATTGGTTATTTGCATTTTTTGATTTGCATTTCAGTTCGACGATCTTTTTTACATAGGTAGCATCTTTTTCGTTTTTTGGACCAAGGACTGCCGCTTGTGGATTCCTAGATAACATATATTATTGATATTTCGTTTGAATATCAAATAAATATTTGCCTACCTCAAGTGATGAAGTTCCAGCATGCTTCTGAATTAATACTTGCAGATCTCTTGACAAATATTTGGCTTGATTTCTCATATTCAAGGCATCTCTCATTAGTTGTAGAGCAAGCTGCTTTATAAAATCTTTTCGAGCCATTCCGCCGTCTTGCTTGACAGCCTTATAAATTACTGCTGAATTTATTGCAACCACATCCAAAAAGTTGAAAAAATAAACACAGGGGCCATCTTTTGGTTCTTCTTCCAACTGAATACATGTCTGATCAACTACATCTACACCACCTTTGGTCATATTATAAAATGTGATTATCTCGGGCTTTTATTGTTCAGCAGTTTCTTGATCAATTGTTGTGGTCAAATGCATTGTGGAGAGTAATATAACAGATTTTCCAATTTTAGGGACATAGGGTACCAAATTTTTGTTTATTGAAAAACCAAAAGTGGAACCGAACTTCTATTATATTATACAAAATTACAATCACAAAACACAATTTAGAATGCATATAATTGAAACAAGAGTAATAAAAAACGAATGCTCAACTTATTTGTTGCGTTTGAACGTCTATAAAACCAAAAGTGAAACGGCCAATAATAGGGGCGCTAAAATTCCCAGTGACGTAATTACTGGCGCTCGGCTTTAAAGGCCGTTTGATTTAATAACTCGGGATATACAAAATAGATTTCTCTTAAAATGAAAAGTTCTTCAAATAAATGCATTTTATTAAGCTACCTAAAATTTTGATGAAAAATATTGCATTTTGAAAATTTCGCAAACATTTTTAATTTTCACACGGCCTTTCAAGCCGAACGCCAGTAATTACGGGTTAAAAGCAAACGAACCTAAACTAGTCTACTTTAACCTATCACAGCCTAGCCTAGTCTAGTGTATTGAGTTAATTAGCTACACTTTGTCACTAGTGGTCCTCAGAAATATCTTAGTAAATTATTGATAAGTCACAATTTGGATTATAGATTATAAACACAAGGTAATAAGACCAAATCCAAATAAATAAATAGTGTTTGACGTTTCGGTAACAGCGTTGTTACCATCTTCAGACAAAAGTACTTTGCATTCAGTACTTTTGTCTGAAGATGGTAACAACGCTGTTACT